GGTTTGCCACCACCTTGTCTCTTGGCTGTGGTCCTGTTTCAGCTCCCGGCGTAGCCACTGCTCTCTGCCTTCCTGTGTCCATGCAAACCTGCTCCATTGCCTATGGGCCTGGGTTTCTGAGTTCTTTCCTGCTTAATGACCCCTCCCCTTGCGTTCTCCCCTTGCAGTTCCTCTGTCTGGGGCTGAGACAGTGGCTGGGACCTGTGCTCCTTACAATTTCACTCTACTGGGCCTCTCACCATCGCTGATCTTCTAGAGTGCCTCCTGATCTCTATTTCTGGATTCCTGAGTGACTGCTCATCTGCCTTGGCCTTCTGTCCAGTCTCATCTCTCTGAACTTGCCCTTCATTTCCCCTTGCCCACAGTCCATCATAGCACTGTTTCCTCTCGTGGCACTGGGCCCTCCTGCTCGTCCCTGTCCTGCTGCTGCCTGCTCCCAATATGACAAGTGTGATTATCAAAAGGCCTGTTTTCTAGAGATTTTATAAGACAACCTGCAATTTCCTATCCTTCGATGGGAGAAAGGCCAGTGGTTCAGGAGCTAGACAGAAAAATGTGAATCATTCAGGGGGACGTGCTTAATCCTCTCTGATCCGGCTGGGTATGACATCATTAAGAAGAAAAGTAAATCATACTGGAGGAGAAATCAAAATACAATTTAAACTACATGTGAAAAATGAATGTTTTGTACTTAACCAGCACTTTGCTCTTTGCGTTAGTTTCTTATTGCTGATGTAACAATTAAACAAACTCAGTGGCTTAAAAACAACACAGATGTATTACCTTCCCGTTGTGGAGGTCAGAAGTCAGAGCTGGGTTCTGCTGGGCTGAAAGCAAGGTGTCGGCTGGGCTGTGTTCCTTCCCGCCCCTTCCCTCGCTCCTGGAAGCTGCCCGAATCCCTTGGCTCCTGGCTCCATCCTCCGTCTGCAAGCCCTCGATCCTGTCTCTCTGACCTGTGTCTGTCACCACGTCTTTGTCTCTGTCCCCTCTGACTCCCTCCTTCACACCCAAGGTCCCTGGTGATTGTACTGGGCCCACCTGGGTAACTTCCAGGTCTTTAATCCCAGCCCCTTCTGCCATGGGGGGTGACACAGTCACCGGTTCCAGGGATTCGGATGTGGACATCTTTGGGGGGTGTTTTCCTGCTCAACCCACTTTGTGCAGCTAATTTCATGTTCATTTGAGAGCTCCACTAATGCCAGACTATGCCTCAGGTGCTGAGTGTTCCACATGCCTTCTCATTTATTCGTCATAATAACTCTGTCAGGTAGACACTGGGGTCCAACCCGTTGCATATATGAGGAAACTGACGCTCAGCGAAATACATTGCCTGCCCAAGTTTGCACAAATTGAACATTTGATTGCGTGTTTGACGATCAGTTCCTGTCCTGTCTTTCCCTAGCTCCAGCCCTGTCCTCTTACAAGTATCTAAATAACTGTAGTCTCCCGAGACTCCCCGTGACCCCTGGGGGACCAGCGTATCCAGGAGGGGATGCCTTAGATTTGGAAACAATTGCAGACGAGGAGTTTTATACCAGACTAGAGGCTCAGTGCATGAAATCACGCGAGACCCAGACCCGGCTCGCCGAGAGACCCAGCATCAAGTCCCACCAGTGCCTGGGACCCATCAATGCACCTCCTGGTGACTGGTCTTTGGTCGTTATGGCGTTACAACCACTGGGTTTTTATTACATAGATTGGCTTATGTATTTATTTTGGCACATTGTATTTTTTTATCTGGGTCTTTATATACTTCCTTATTCTCACTAGTCCATATTCTTATGAACATAGACTTCAATTATTATGGTTTTCATAAATTTTATCAAGTGGATGGCCATTTCAGGCTGAAGACTTGGGTCTTATTTTAGTGCAGGGCAGTGACCCGATATTTCTTGGGATGCGATTTGTGTTCCTTTCAGTCGGCTCTCTTCCTTAGGACACCCGTTACCCGTGTGGCGGCTAGTTGTCTGGTCTCCGCTTTCTTCATCAGCCTGTCTCTCCAGTTCCTTTCATCTCTGCTGGTTGGCTTCTGGGTTCTGTTTTTCAAGCCTGGTCACAGGTCGCTGGTTTTCTGCGGCGTTGGTCCTGCGACTCATCCACTTCAAATGCCCTTTGAATTCTGCAGTCGGCATTGCTTGTTTCCTGTAATTCTTCCCTTAGCTTCTCAAGGTTTATTTTCTTTTTTGGGACATTTCCTTTGCCACTCACCTCTCGGCTCCTGTTTCTTAGAGCCCATGTGTCAATATCACCCTTGTTTTCTCCTTTTTTATCCTCTGAATTTCTTAGCTGTTCAAAGCCTGGGACGGGAAAGCCTGAGGAAGAGTCGGTGTCTCCTGAGCTGTCTGGCTGGGACATTTCTGCTCATTTGCCTTCCACCTTCTACACAGCACCCCGCCCTCCATGCCTTGTCATTGTCCTTGTCTTTGGCCCTCAGCTAAGGCATTGATAGCAAAATCGGTGGATCCTGGTCACACCCCCACACCCGTTGCTCACTCTGTCCCACGTTTGGGAATGAGGGGCTCCAGGGGGTGAGTGATGGGGAAGTAGTGACCCCCACATTAGAGCCACACCGGTGGTGTTTCAGGACGGGCTCTGAAGCCGATGCCCTGCATTCGGATCCCAGCTGGGCCGCTTCCCAGCTGTGCAAACTTGGGCCTGCAGTGTCACTCCTCGAGCTTCGGCTTCCTCATGTGTACAGACGATGTGCGCCCACCTCAGGGGCTTTGGTGAGGCATTAATGGGAAGGCATGTAACACAGCCCGTAATAGTGCATAGTCACCATTAGTCACCATTAGCTTAAAAAAAGAAAGAAAACGGTGTCCATGCTGTTGAGTAAGTCGGTTAGACGACCTCCACCCATCACTCACTCCATTGTATCCGCCATGGTGGCCCTGCAGAGCCTTGCGCAACAGCAGGGGGTGGGGGGGGGTGGAATGGGCTCTTTGGCGTCTCCATCTCTTCCCAGCCCTCCTCTACATTTGGCCAACTCTTCCTCAAATGAGGGCACATCCCTGCAATTTTCCAGAATTTCCTCCACTTCCTCTGCACTATTTTGGGAAGGGAGATGTGGTTGGAGCCTGGGTGGTTCTCCATTGTCTGATTCTACTAGTGCCCCGCCCGAGGCAGGTGGTTGGCAGGTTCAGCCCCAATGAGCTTCCTTCCCCTCCCATTCCCATCTGTTGTTTTTTTAATCGTCTGGTTCAGTTTCTGGTATGGGAGGGGCTTGTGACTACCTCATATACTGCCATGGCTTTTTAAAAATACCAGTTATTTTATTATTTTCAAGTATAAAGACAATACATGGTTGAGGCATAAAGTCCAGAGAATGCCAAAGAGTAAGTCACTATCAGCTCCAATCAACCTGTCTAGTCTGGAGCAAGTCCTTGGCTTCCTGCTCGTTGCCCTCCCCTGCGGTCCCACCTCAATCACCGGGCCCCACCCATTGCAAGGTGGCTCTACCCTCTCTGGTGTCCCAGTCCTGACGCCTCACCCAGGGGGCGGTGGAAGACGACACGGATGAAAGTGGGCCGTGCCTGTGGTGGAACTGTTTTCTTTGTGCAGGAAATGAAGAAGACTTGGGGACATGGGGAAACTAATAAATCACAAGGCGTTCCTAAATCCAACCAGACCATTAAAACACTCAATTTTACTTTTGGGAAAAATATTTAAATGAAGGCAGGCTGTGAGGAGAAGGCCTGAGTGAAAAGAATGCTCGGCTTGAAGTTGGAAACCCTGGATTAGGGACTTATTTGCTCCACGTATTTACTTAACCTCGCCACCACGCGAGTTCTGAGAGCAGCAATAATAGACACTCCAGCAAGTCTGTGCGGATTAAAAAGGAGATTCAGGGTGCTTAGTAAATGCTCAAGCTGCATCTTCATGCCTGTGTTTTTCCCTGTGTGTGTTTTACCAGTTTTTATAACCTGCTGCTGTAAAAGGATCTCATTCAAACTCAGAATGTCACCCCTACGATTCAGGAGGGTAAAGGCAAAAACACTTGTGCAGTCGCCTTGATTCTGTCTTGTCGAGAGCTTTCCTGGCACGGTGCTGGAGATGAAAAGAGCAAAGTCCCGCTCTCTGGGAGCTCCCAGGTCACAGTGGGAAGTTTGTGCCACACACACACAGAGTGACTAGCTCCCTGAAGGTGGTGTGACAGTTGGGGGAACTTACCTGAGAACCGGATGAGCTGAACTGGGTTTTAAGGGAGAGGGAGTATCCCTAGGGACACAGGAGATCCCAGGCAGAGGAAAGAGCATATGCCACGGAGGGGATGCTGACAAGCCCCCATCCATACTCGACCCTGGGGCCAGGTGGGTCCTTGGTGGGTGGGACTCAGAGCCTGTGTTGGGGTACCAGGACACCAGTGGGGGCCAGGCTGTTTTTTGATCACTTCATGGGTTGGGTTTTTACTAATCTGTGTCTGCCTTTGGAGGAACTGTGTGGATCCTGCTTAAGAGGTGAAGGAAGCCCTAACTGGTTTGGCTCAGTGGCTAGAGCGTCGGCCTGCAGACTGAAAGGTCCCAGGTCCGATTCCGGTCAAGGGCATGTACCTTGGTTGCGGGCACATCCCCAGTAGGAGGTGTGCAGGAGGCAGCTGATCGACGTTTCTCTCTCATCGATGTTTCTAACTCTCTATCCCTCTCCCTCCCTCTCTGTAAAAAAAAAAAAAAAAATCAATAAAATATATTAAAAAAAGAAGAGGTGAAGGAAAATGGGAGGAAGGCTACGGGGCTAAGTGCCAACCCCCAAGTGCAAGCTGAGCAAGGAGCCAGGTGTTTAGAAGCGGCCTGTGCCCTCTCTCATCTGCCCTCTTGAATCAGCTCAGCAACAATGTTTATTCTTGAATCAGCTAGCCATGGAAACTCCTTATGATGGAAAGCCATGCCTTCCCCTCTCCCCCACAGCCTTCCAGGGCATGGGATGGGTGGAGCCTCCAGGCTCCAGGCCACCTGGGAGCACTTGATGATATGATTTCTCCTCTCCCTTCCTCTGTCCTGCAGCAATGGAACGGCAGGGACACCGCGCTCATGGTCACCCGCGTGGTCAACCACAGGCGCTTCTCGGCCACGGTCAGTGTGGCGGACACTGCCCAGCGGAGTGTGAGCAAATACCGCTGCGTGATCCGCTCGGACGGTGGCTCCGGCGTGTCCAACTACGCTGAGCTGATCGTGAAAGGTGAGTGCCACCAGCCCTGCCTCTCCCCACCCGGTGGGTGCGCGAGGGTTTCTTGGCTAAACCCCTGCAAAGGAGGGATGAAGGGGCCTTTGCTCATCCGCTGCTTCTCCTCCTCTCATTCAGGAGCCATAGACACACCTTCCAATCCCACCTCCCCCTCCGAAAAGAGAGACACTGTGGTAAAGTCATGCAATATTGCCTTGTTATTCAGAGTTGGGTCTTTCTTGTAGGATCTATATGTCAAAGTCTGGGAATATGGAACATAGAAGACATCTCCGCATTCCGCTTTGTGTTGCACTTAAAGTTAGAAGAATCCACGTCCTTGTGTGTTGGTGGCATTTTGTTGAAGCGTTCAGGGAATACAGTCATTTCTGAGGGATTTTTTAAAATTGAAAACATGATATAATGGCAGTATTTTGGAAGGACTTTTGAAATCAGTAATTCCTCGCCCCACTGGCCTTGACTTCATTCTTTTCAGTTTTCCTGTTCACCTTGACGTAGCACTGATACACTTCTAGTGCAGTATGCTCATTGCTTCCCTTTCTGCTTCTCAAGGAGCTGAATATCCGGCTTATTCTTGGAGGGCTGTGTAATCTTCGTTGTGACGCTTAATGGCTGTGTGCTTTTTCATCCAGTGGATCACCTAGTATTTTCAAATCTGTTTGTACGCCTTTAGGTAATTCCAGGTGTTTTTGTTTTTGCATCTTTCCTCTGTGCGTGCAACAGTGAACTCCTCAATGGTGTTCCTCAGAAGAGGACATTTTTATTCTATTGAACAGGATTATTCCCTTGGATAAATTCCCTGGAGGTAGAGTTGGTGGGCCAAAGAATATGAGCATTGTTATGGATTATCTTTGTTTTGCAATATTGCTTCTGCAAGAAACGGTTTGACACGTTACACTGGCAATAGCAGCATATGAATGTACTCATTTCCCAGCGTTACGTTCACCGATTAAAATTTTAATATAGTATAATTTAGTGGATGAAATAATGAAGCTGTTCTTCTCGTGTTAGCTGTGGAATGGTACTGTTGTGCCCAGAATTCAAAGTTCCCAAGACCCCCAGGGAGCCAGTCAGTCCGATGCAAAAGCAAAGAGTCATTTATTTCAAACCTAGGTTTGGCTCCCCTGCCACACTCACCGATGCAACGGTAAGCTCCAGTGGCCGAGAGAGAGAGAGACGCCTGATGGGACAGGGGGTTTTAAAGGGGGGTGGAGTGAGGGCAGGAAAGGGGACTGTGGGCCCCGCTGATTGGCCAGGCGCAAGTCGGTCATAGTGATGGCGTGCACTTCCCTTGATTATTATTGGTTAGTCCAGAGAAATCCTGGGTGTGGCTAGTAGCGGCTTCTTCCCGTGAGGAGGCACATGGTACCGTCCCAAGATGGAGGACCCAAGGCAAGATGGAGGGCGCAGTCCTTGCCTGGCTCCTGCTGCTGCCGCTCGAACTCGCCACAAGGCAGGACGGCCCTCCCGCACAGCCCCCGCAGCCGGCCTGCGGGCAGACTGGGACTCCAGCGCGTCTGGGCGGCACAGGCCCAGCAAACGGGGTGCGGCCGGTGGAGCGGCCCAGCTCTGGAGGAGCGGCATCCGCTCGGAGCAGGCCCGGCCATGGGGCCGGTGCGCTGCAGCATGGCGGCCTCCCCGAGCTAGGGCACGCGCCCCACTCCGCTGCCGCCGCTGCTGCACTGGGCCCGGTCCGGGGGGCAGCGGGCGGGTGGCAGCCCACGCCGGGCTCCCGCCGTGGGCTGGGGAGCCAATGCCCCCCCCATGGGGCCCAGCGGCTGGCCCACGCAGGCCCCGGCCCCCCCGACCGGGCCCCAAGGGCCGCATGGACCCCCGGCCCCAGCACGGGCAAGCGGGGAGCCGACCACGGGGGAAGGGAGGGAAGAGCCAGGCGGTGAGGCCTTCCGCTCCCATGACCTCCCCTGCGGTCGGTCGCTGCCCGGCCCTACCCCTCGGCCCGCCACCGGCCACCACGCAGCCGGTCCGGACACTCAGACCCGCTCCGGGGAGGCCGGCGGCCGCGGAGGGATCCCAGAGCCCAGCGGCCGGACTCCTCCTCCCGCACCGCCCGGAGAGGCGGGCGGCGCGCCTTTCAGTACCTGGTGTGTTTGAAGGTAACAGCATGATCACCCCCGCTCCCCCAGAAGGCTCCTGAGTGCGTTTTCTTGGCTGGTATGAAACCCTTGCCCTCTGCTGGCCCCATGGAACCGGTGGCCTGTCCTGGGTCAGACTGGGGTTTGCAGTCTGGGATTCTCTCTCCTGGGCTGTCCTGACTCTATGTGTGTTCACATGGCCGGCTTCCTTGGCCCCCCATTCTGTTGATTGCATTCTTACATCACCCTGTCTCTTTTTCTATATAGCAACATCACACTTCAACATTACATTTTTCCTTGGTTTCCTGGTAATTTCCTGTCTCATCCTTCAGGATATAAGCTCTGTGAAAGGAGGGGCATCTTGGTTCCCAGTAAGCCCCCGGAGCTTAGCAGAGAGCCTGGCCCAAGTGCTGAGCTCCAGAACCACATCCGTATGAAACCGCATGTTTGACTGTGTGGACCTGCACAATCCTTCGTTTCAGCAGGCTCACCCTTAAAACCTTTGTTGAATGATGGATGAGTGAATGGATTATTGGCCTCAGCAGGAATTCATTTCATCACCATAATGCCGTGAACACTTAGGCTGAAGTTCAGCAAATTAGGCAGTCATGGACAAAACAACCAAGAGGAAAAAAAAAATCATCTTCAAAATCGTTTATATTGAGTGCCATTACCATATAAAAGAAACCACATTTTGATTGCATTAGGCTCCTATCTTCGGGTTTTTTGGTGCCAATAGATTGATTTGTGTGACAAGTGGCCTTTGCAGGCCTTTCAGGTACTCAATGAATATGTAATTTCCTGAGCTCTCCCCCTGGAGCTCATTATACCTTTTGTGCGGTGGCCCTCCACACCGGCATAGAAGCCCATGGGACAGCGGGCTGTGTCGTGTCATGGTCCCCGCACTTTCCACATGCCGGGCACAGTGTTGGCCCTGAGAGAGGGAGTGAATGACCCAGAGAGCGAGTGTCGCATTCTGCACTTTCACATCAGGTGGATGGAACCCAGTTGTGGGGGAGGGGTCTGGAAGGCCAAATGCAGAGAACTTTGGGACAGGATGGGAGTCCCATGGTGGACCATCGTTGCCTTTATTTGGTGGGGTGGCAGGGGTTGAGGGGACAAGTGATCGATCCTCGGCTGGCTGTGCAGCCTGGGCCAGAGTTCCGCCTGCAGGGAGCCGTGCGCTGGCCACATTTGTGAACAAGAGCCAGCAGGCACTGCCGCTCTGAACCCCTCACCTGCAGCCCCCTCTGCTGTTTTAAGGGAGGTGCTGGTTGGCCTCCTTCCCAGTCTCCTTCCAATGGCGATGACAGGTAGGTGCTCCCTGTAACTGGGTCCCTTTTGATTACACCTTGATGGAATCCTTTATGGGATATCACTTTCTTAGTGCTCATCCATCCCCCCCCCTCCCCCCGTTTTCTTCATTTTTACATGCAGTTGGTGGGAAGGTAGAAGCTGGACACCTGACCCGGATGCTGATTGCTGTCTGTGTGGCCTTGACGCAATCATTTAAGGCTTCCTCTGCCAAGTGGGGACCAGAGCTCTCTCCCCGTACACTCGTGTGCTGAGCACATGAAAGGAGGGAGAAAATACAAAGTGGGCCCAATGTGTGCTTGGGAACATTTGGGTCGTGGAGTCCACACTAGGTCAGACTCCCTAGCCTGCTCCCGTCTCCACCATCACTGAGCCAGAAATCTGGGACAAAGGAAAAGTGGCTGTTCCTGCCTGAGCTCTGCCTCTGATCACGTGGGCCCCACTCCACCTGGCATCATTCATTCAGAACTCGGGTTTGGGAAGTCATTGTGCCAGGGGGTGGCAGGATCTGGCGGCCACTCTGATGGCGTTCACAGCAGGTTCTTGCACTGGGCCAAGCAGTGAGGCCCAGCCTGCGTCTCTGTCGCCTCATGCACAGGCATGGTTTGGGCAGCCTTGCTCATGGCTAACGTGCTATCCTGGGACTGGGAGCATCCGTGCTTCAGAAGACGCCGCCTAATTTGAGTGCAGGTGATATCAAATGCTCAGCGCAACACACAGATCGAAATGAAAGCAAATTGGAATTACTTAATTCTGAAGGGCTGTTTATTGAGTTGTGATAACGTACCTGGGTATATATTAGATTGCTCTGTAATTGAGGTTTCGCTCAATTGACAATCCGGCCCCTTGACCTACCTGTTTCAGACCAGTGTTCACAAATGTGCTGATTCTCTTCTCATTCCTGGTCTCCAATTCTCTTTGATTTCAAGGCATCTTAAGTTATCCCAAGGATGGAGTTCTCTTCGATCAAAGTGATGCAGACGGACGTGGTCCTGATGAAAATTCCTTAATGTAAAAACAATGTGTCATGGGTAGTGATTTTTAAATCAGGCTCCCGGCTCCATTTAACAACCTTCCATGGGCCCAGAGCCCTGTTATCAGTATGCAGATTAGTGCCCAGAAGAAATCTAATGCTGCTGCTGAGTCAGATGTTCGGATTTAAGTAATGATGCGACTTCCTGCCAGGGCAGCTGGGTAGTTTCAGGCGTAGGGATTTGGATGCCACCACACTTCCAGTCCCCGTCCTGGCCTCAGATCCTGTATTCTCTCTGGGCCTCAATTTCCTCATCTGTTCAATGGGAGTGAATAGATTTAATTGGGTCCTTATGAGGGGAAGACATTATATGTATAGGTCCTGGCACAAAGTGGACACGCATGCAGTTACAGCTGTCACTGTCCATCACGATCTTTTACTGTCATAATAAGGTGTGATACTCGAGTAGGTGGTTCATGTTTCCTTGTCCTGCTTAAAGGAATGGCAAGCTGTACTGTAGAGATTTAGATTTAGTTATCTGCAGGTCTCTCTCCTTTCCTCCTCTGAAATGGAGTTGATGCCATCAAATGCAGTATATTGGTCAAAATCAGTTTCAG